AGAGAGCTGTTGGATGGAAGAAGAACTAGCGCACCAGCCCACAGGCAAGAATTTGCGCAGCAAGAAACTGCCCTACTGATGAAAACAGGGCCATGACATTCACAGGACTGAAAAGCAAATATTCCTCATGCCTCCAGCTGCTCGACAAGTGACCTGTCACTGTTCCTGAGAGCACAATATATAGCCATTTAGCACTTCTGGGAGGTGACTGTGGAACAGTAACTAATACACAATCAAGGGGCAGGGTACAGGCACAAACGTGGACGCAGGGACGTACAGACACCCATGTGCATGGACATGACAATGGTAATGATCAGACCAAATGATCAGATCTGTGAATAATCCTAAATACCTTCAAAGGTACAGGCAAGCCTATTGTTTATCCTTGGGGAAAGGAAAAAAGGCAAAGAAAAAAAAAAGCAAACAATTTTGGAGCACACCTATCTTCACCAGCATACCTTTTTCTTTGCCTATGAAGTCAGGTTACCTTAGTTACCATGAGCGTTCAGGGCTCAGAGTCAGAGAAAGGTTAGTACTCAATCTTCTCCAAACCATCCAAACATTCCTCACAGATCAGTGGCAGTTTTAAGGTCCAGTATCTCACTACCTGGCAGGGTTAAAAACCGCCTCAGACAGCGCTGTTCCAGACAGCCTATGCATGGGCTCTCCAGCAGGACAAGGCTTTCTGCCCTATTGCAAAAAAAGTGCATTTTCAGAAAGAAACAATGTCATTTCACTCCCTGCCCTTCCCTGAACCACATCCACAGGGTGAAACAAAAAAATCTCAGCGACACTTTCTTTTTCATATTTCTGCAACACAAAAATTCAGAGAATTGGGGTAACAGACACAGCTTCCAGCTGGGACAAACTGGTGGGAGAAGTGGGCAAGCAATAATAAAAAGCCAAAAGCAGCACAGCTTGACCCATGGTTCTTGCAGATTCCACGACTGTGGGAATGTACACACCTTCCTCACTAGCCATCAAGAACTTGTACGTGGGGCATGCATCTGAGTTTTCACACTTTCAAGGAAAAAGCACGCTGTCATGAAGTCACAGCAGACTGAGACTGGGTTAAGTGTCAAATTCATCAGTGACAAGACTAGGAGTAGCTTAAGTAGGTCCTCCCTGGCAAAACCAACCTATTACCCAAAGTACTGTGAATTCTGTACATGCCACGTGCTACAGGAAAGGGACCTGAACATTGCTCCGTTGACTAGGCACTAGTCTCCTTGTTCCTCATATCTTTTAAGCAGCACCACGTACACAGAGCCTGCTTGTACAGCACTGAGATGAGACCCAACCACAACCAGGCTATATGTACATCCAGAATTAGAGCTAAGCGCCGAGCACTCCATCAGGAACCTGGGAGAGAAACATCTTTTCTGTTGCTAAAGCCCCTGCCTTTTCTGGCCCTGCAAGATCATAGGAAACATCAAAGATGGGGCATATTTAGCATGAAGAAGGGAGCCATGGCAAACCACATAAGAGAAAAATTAACCTTTGCGGTAGGACAGAGGTCATAATGCTTTATTTCTTAAAGGTACATTTAAAAAAGAATCTTTTAACTTTAAAATTTATAAAGTGGGGACATCATTGGACTGAATTTTGGGAAGATGGATTACTGGGCAAAGGCCAGGAGATGCAACCAGAATTCAGGCTGTATGAACCATCACACATAAAACTCCACACACATATATTATGTGGGTTTTGTGCATGATAAACATAAACCAAAACACCGATACAGAGGTATAATCTACATGATTAACTCTAAAATGTTTGCAGAAATCTTTTATAATTGACAAAGCTTCATTTGGGTGGCTGTGAATACAGTTATTACTTCTGGATATTTTCAAAGGGAGTTTTCCATAAACGCTCCATTGAATTACCTATCTTCAGACATCGCCAGTTCCTAAGTCTGTGAAGACTGACAGTGCTATCTAATTCTGATATTCCTTCTTTCACCATTCTCTTCTGTTAGCAAGGGCATACTTTCTCTCACTGCAACAAAGGAAAAAAACGGAAAAACACATGCTGTTGCAACGTTATACTCTTGACAGCACTCCCATCGGAGATCATGAACGTTCGTCAGAAAATACCATATTTACTCCTCTAAGAGGCCCCAAAACCAAAGTGGCAGATTGCAAGCTCGGCTATAGCAAGCAACAGGTGACTACACCATCAGAGCTGACAGGCATCCTGGCTGCACACTAGCTTTGGACAGCAGAATACGATGAGAAGGTGAAGATGCAAGAGGAAATGCAACCATAAGGTGAGCAAGTACTAAGCTGTTTTTAAATAAATCTTTTCTACAGAACTGGAACAGGTTACATTTTCCACGCAAAGAAAAATTTCCTCAGTCAAGAAAAATTAAGAGACAACAGTGCACACATCGTACTGGACAAGGTTAATAGGAAGAGTGTAAATCCACTGGCATGCAGAGACGGCAGAAGACAGCAAAGGGCTGTCTTCAAAGAAAGCGTGTTCCCAAGAGGTGACTTTGAAGGCAACTTCAAGGCTCACTTCACTGAGATCTGTGCATGGACAGAAGTTGGTACTCAACCGGCCCAAGCCCAGGGCCCAGTCAGGTGTGCTCTGCCATGATGCCCGAGTTCCAGCTGTTCTTGCCTGAAGGCTTCTCGGCTAAGAAATCCCCATTTAGGCAACAGCACAGTATCTGTGTAGGCACACACACGCTCTGGCTTAAAAGCTCACTTCTGAAGGACAACGAAAATCACTGAAGACCAAACCCAACATTTGCTGGTTTTGTCTTCTGTTTGGTTTTTGTTGGTTTGGTTTTGTTTGTTTTTAACTAAGAATTACGTTCATAGGTTGTCTGCAAAAATCTAACTTCACAGCTTTTATTCCCAGGAACCAGACATGATGAGAGCCCTAGCTGACTGACAGCCACCTAGTCATCTCCTAAATACCTGTCCTGTGGGTCTGAGTGGGGAAAAAAATAAGTGAATCCCATCATGCAATCTCTCTCTCTCTCCCTTCAAATAATACATAAATTAAAAGGCAGCTTTACTCTGCATCACCAGTGTGACTCAGACCAGAAAACAATTACAGAGACAAATGAGGCTGTGCATTCAGACTAACAGTTAGACAAACATTTTCTAAACTACAATAAAACCAAATTACCTTATGAAGAAAATAATCTACACTGAGGGCCATAAAACACACACGCAGACACGCACACTGTTTTGGCATTAAAACTCTGCATAGATCAAAGATGCACTTCAGCTATCAGAGCCCCCGGTGTACAGAAGTCCTGCAGAAATCCAGCCTCCGGCCATGGGGCCCAGCGCTAAGGCAGGGCACTCCTCCACAGCGCCCTGGGGGCACTCAGTGGCTGCTACCCACAACCAAGCACAAGGCTAAGAAAATAGAAAAAAGTGAGAGATCTTAACGTGAAAAGGCCTATGACACACTCACACACATATATATTAGAAACTATTCAAGCTAAGACTCTAAAGGTTCTTACTTAAAGTCCGTTTCTGAAATGCATTTTAAGTGCAAGTTGTGCTTTTTCATGTGCTTGTGATGCCACTACCACCATCTGCCAACTGCCTTCCAGCACTGCGTGTGCTTCCACACAGGAGCAGCCAGGGCAGAGATACCCCACATGCCACTTCACAGGCAGGCAACATTTCCCACCGACTCCTAAGCCCAGCACGGCAAAACGAGGGCTTGCAGACCCTCCGGGAACACGAGTCATCTTTACCCACGCACGCAGTCCCGCCAGCACCAGCTGGATGATGTGCACGGAGGAGGGTTTCCACAACAGGGCCCAGAGCAGAAGGGTTTGCAGCGAGTGTCACTGGTGCTCCCACGTCACTGCCAGGGACGCCGCCCAAGCCAGTGCCACTGCGACGCGCGCTCTCGGTACTGCTGCGGAAACTGCACGGGGGGTTACGGCTGCAAAGGCCCCTTCACTTCAACAGGATGGATCCCCAGGACTGAACCTTCAGTAGCTAAAGGATGAAATGGAGAGCGAAAAGCACAACAGTCTCACGTATTTTAACAGCATTGCAGGGGGAAAAAACCACCTTACATTTTTAAACAATTTATTGCATAATGTCATGATATGTGACTAAATACATTTCAGGCTACAGTGAGGACACAATCTCTAAAACTGTAAGTACTGGTGATACTGCATTATGAAAAGGAAAAGAATGGCAGCACTTAGTTAGAATTAACACAAATTGACACATCGGGGATTTCGTTTTGCCGTTTACGGAACAGTCTACACTGCAAAACAGCCAAACCCTAAGTGACAGAAAATGCTGGGATTTTGTATTTGCCTTCTTCCATCCAAAGGTCTCCAAGACACTTCATTGACGCACTGTTATCTGAATGCAAATTATTGCAAAGACAAGTGTCCCTGTATTTCTTGATTTGTAAAAGTCAAAAGATGTTAGGCTAAGTCCTGTCTCTTTTTTTTCTAGCAAACCCGAGGGGAGGGGGGCGAACTCCTCCAGATTACTTTTGGGTCTCTACCATTATTCCACAGGTGAATAGACAACATACAGAAGAACTTCACATAAAACAGTTCCCTCATATATATTTTTTTTAAAAACATTAAGATAGTGCAACTTCGTAAAACACATTTATCACAACACAAATTAATTCCTTGCATTCATCTAAGCTCTCAACTTTATACCTTGGCACACAAAACAGGAATTTTGTTTCATACTAAAAAAAAAAAATCCACACCCTAGGAGAAAAAAAAAAAGCAAACTGGCCAATTCTTCCCCCATTTATCTAGTAAAACCACCTTCTTCCTTCTGCCATTCAGCGAGTATAAAACAGGCTGTACAAGCCTCATTTCTGTGCTAAGTTAACTTTTAGAATTAAATAATTGAAATAGTTTATTAAAAAAAATAATATATCCCCCCCTTCCCCTGAAACACTGCTCGTAGACAAACTGAATGGAAGTTTGTATTTCTTTCAAGCTGCTTTGCATGCAATTCCCCTGAAAGGAATCAGAAACAAAGAACTGGTTTGCACGTTTGGTTTTACTAAGTTGTACCACGTGAAACGTAACAACACTGTGCACCGGAGCACGGGGGTCTTCTTCCACCGGCCTGCTTGAATCTCTCATCTTCAGTTCAAACGCACCTGGGCGAGTGACTTAGACCAGGTTTCCTGGTTTCCGGTCTTGGCCTTTGCTGGGGACTATTGCGCTCTCTGAATTGTTCTGCTGAAACTGAAGTCTGCTCCCCCTCTGTGAGGAAGGAGGCACGTTGCTGTGCTGGTGATGGAAAAAAGAGGAGCCTGGGTAATGCCCCATGACCTCGCTGTACGTCGGGGGTGGTCCTTCCATCCTTCCGTTACTGCTATAGTTGGTTGCACTTATGCCCGAATTGCTGCTTGGTGGGCAGGGGCCCCCATTGTACATCGAGATGTCTATCAAGTCGCTATCAAAAATGGTTCGGTTGGGTGGTGCCCTGACAGATTCCCGGTTGAGCTCCATCTGCTGTTCTGGGTCCCGGAGCTGCAGGGTGCACGGGCCTTGGTACGGCGGTGGCTCTTCCCCGTCAGAGAGGGAGATGGTCGGAGGAAGGTCAATCTCATGCTGCATGTAAGGGTAAGTGGGCTGGAAGCGACTGAAACGGTCCCGCTGCATAAACGACGGGGTGGTAAACCTGTCCCTGGACCTTGGAGCATACATGATCTGAAACGGGAAGAGAGACACGTTGTGACTCCACGCCCGAGCAAAGCACCGCGGGTGCTCCGTGTTTACAAAGAACCAATAAACCAGAAAATACTTCTCTTCGCCACCTATCTTAGAAGACGAAACCCGGCAGACACTGTGCACGCGTGCTCCCACACATGTGCATGTGAAAACAAAGAGGTACGAGTTGCAGGAAGGATCTAACACAAGACACTTGAGAACAGAACAGCTTCACGAAGGAAAACCAAGACCTTGCACAGCTCCTTCTGACATTAAAACATGCAGAGCTGAGAGAACACAATTCTGTTTCTGTACATAGCAAACGCTTTCTCTTTAGACCTGACAACTAACTAGTTCTACGAAAATGTCCCAGCACTGAATTTCAGCTGCAGCCTGAGCCTCCCCCTCCTACTCAGAGTTAACGTAATACCCTGCATCACCAAAGAATTCAGATGGCCATTTTAGTACATTTTGTAAAGGCCTGGCATACCTCATACCTTCACCACCAGAGTGGGTCAGGTGTCCTCCTCCCCCTCAGTTCTCAGCCAGAGTTCAGCCTCCAGGGAGGACCTGGAAGGCTTCTGTATTGCGAGTGGAAAAAATGTCCCTGGTATATTAAGCCCTGGAGAAGGTCAGGAAGAGCTATTGCTCCTCACTTGGTCTACCCCAGATCTAGAGAGACACACCAGCTTCTTAGATCTAGATCTATCAAATTGCTCTTATGTTTGGGTCCATGCAGGGTCTTTAGCCCTCAAGCCTCATAGATACAAGCTCAGCCACCAGGAAGATTCATTGTTTGACACAGGTGAGCTGGGCCACTTGGAGCAACACACCCACAAACTATCACTCAGACCAGGGATCTGTGCTAGCCGGAAGATGGGAGACACTGGTGACAGCATATGTGTTGGAAATCCAGGAAAAACACAGGAAGATGAGCAAGTGGTCTCTCAGATTCCAATGAATACTCAAAGTACTGAGCCACTGCATGAGAGACACGTCCACTGCTTACCTGTGAATGTCTACTATGATACAGGGAGCTGTGGATGGAGATGAGGTGTCGGGTAGGTAGAATGTCATTCTTTTAATGAAAAAGTCTTAAGCATTTACAGAATGGGACTTAAAGCAGGCTCAGATATCCACATGAACCTGGCTCTTGGTCTATGCCGAAAAGTTTTATTTACTAAACAGATGCACGTTTTTGAGAGGAGCCAAATACATGTAACAGGAAAGAGGTGAAGATAGTAAGAAATCTCTCTGTACCTCTGAAGCACCCTGGCGTGAAACGGAGCTTTCTGAAGGCCACAAGCACCCTTCCTGGAATGTAGAAAAACACAACAAAAGAGAAAAATTAATAGATCACATCACCTCAAATATCATGACTTTTAGGAGCAGTCAGCTTCTAAGGACTGGCTGCCTCCACCTAGAGAAAGCTGATAAACAAGTAATGTCCCACCCTTTTTCCAAAACCAGGGAAACAGCAGCTCTGCACCCAAGCAAGTCAAGCTTGTCCATTGTGCAAGTGCCAGGACACCAGACACAGCACCCAGCCTCACGGGCCACAAGGACGCAGCAAGCTGGTCAAGCTGGTCACAGCTATGAGCGCGTGGCACCGCTGGTCACAGCTATGAGCGCGTGGCACCTCGCAGAGGTGACAGCAGACACTTCAGTGCTTGTGCGCTGAGCGGGTACCCTTCACCTCCCAGCCCGTGACCAGGCCACGTCGCCACAGTCGGCAGGTCCAATGAAGCTGACCCGCCAGCCAGGATCCTGATTACACACCAGAGACAAAACAGTTCACCACAAAACCTGGTGCCTGCAGCCTCGGCGGTGAAGCGACACTCTAGACCCAGGTATATTCTGGTCAAAACTGTCCGTTGCCCAGTTCCCACCATAAACAGTAATTAAGCAGATGAAGTTTCAGCCACCAGTTCCCCTCTTCAACCACTTCTCCAACCACCTTCTCAGGTATTTGCTCTCTCATGCCTTGAAAGGCTGTTCTGACACCGTACCAGCACTCAGGGCAGAATGAAAGTGTGAAGAACAACCTGTGTGTATCATTACTTTTCTTCTCAACTAACTATTTAGAGTAGCAGTAACTACCGCAATAGATTTATTTTGTTGGAAAATTTCGAAGCTGGAAAGGACTCACCAGAGCAGGTATAAAGCACAGAATTTCAATCTTGGTGTAAAAAACATCAAAACATTGTATAGTCATGAATATTTTCTTGGTTCCAATTCAAGTTTTACAATTTTATAGACATAAGAAATTTCAGGAACAGGAAGGAAAATGCATACTGTCCCCAAAAGCATTACCCTGTGTAGACTACTTTCAGATCTTACTGTACTGCTGCTTCTCTGTATAGCATCTTTCAACATATTTCAGATGTAAAAATAGACCTAACTAGATGTTCATCATGACACCCAGAGACCAAAAGCAGTCTGTGATCTTGTCAGGAGAGTCCACCGCAGAGGAAAGCTACTCTAAGAGGAATCTCCCACAGGATTCAGCTGTTAAGGGAAATGCTTTGAATAACAAAGCTGGTCAATCACTTCTCTTCTGTAGCTTTAGAGAGGAGAGATAGAGGGAGGCTGACAATTGCAATTATTTACCACTTCCCTTTGCAAGTTTCCTCATTTGCAAGGGCCTGATACAAAAGAGAAATCTTACATAGATTCATGTATTTCAGTGCCTATATAAGGTTCTGTCAATAGAAGAAACTGTAGCTGAATAACTGCATATGTACCTGTACATGCATACTTGTACCCACCTTCCTTTCCACCCCTCCCTCACCCAGATGCCCTCATTTTGAAATATCTGAGGGTGTACTTGCCCAATGAAAGACAACCAGATTATCAGCAGCTGACCCAGCAGACTCTAAGCCTGTTGCAATTGTTAAGTAAAACATACCAGTCAAAGCTAAAGCGCTCAATTAACTGCCCACGAACTACAGGCCATACACAGCCCAACAGAGATTCCTGAGCGAGGGTTGGAAAAATACAATACTGAGTAGCTTTACGCTTAGTGCAACTGCCTCAGTCTCTCCTTTAATGTTTCAGGCTCACAAGAAAGGAAAAAAGGCAAAAACCCATGACCCAACCCAGAATGGACCCCCACCACTCCTGATACTTAAGCTCCCTTATAAAAGGGTTTCCGATGTAGAAGTGGGAACGACAGCTCCCATCCCAGGGCCCATCTCCCCTAAGGCAGGCAATTAAGAAGAGCCACAGGAGACGGTGCAGCACATGGAGAAAAACTCCGTGCTGACACGGAGCAGGACTCCATGCTGAGCCTGGGCACACAGAGCTGCTACCAGCAATGTTGAACAGAAACAACTTGTCGGAAGAGTGGAGTTGCCCGTTACTTCCACTGCCAATGCCGGAATCCCAGTACAGTAAAACACCTGCCTGGAGGCATTGCAGCTGCTACAGGGACCCCACAGAGTGCGACCAGGATGCTGGGGTAGTTGGACAAAGATGACAAGACCAAAGGAGCCCAAGGCTCTCCCTGCTCTGGGCTAACTACTCAAGGAGGCAGACAGCTTGGGATGCAGCTGAGCTCCAAGGCTGTGAGATCCTTAGGATGCAGGGATGTGCAACAACATGGCCTCTGTGACAGTGTGTCCTATAGCCCACCTGTAGCTACTCCCTTCCCTAAGGTTTCCTCTGGAGGGAGCAGCAAGCTGAATACATCACTTGGCAGCAGCCAGCCCCCCCCCCAAGATCTCCATCCCGGGAGCCAGAGGAACTCCCCAGGCAGATGGCTGGATAGCATGTGCTCAGCATGCCCATGCTCGGAAAGTATCACGCTCACACACCATGTGCAGACCAACCTCACCATGCATACATGGTCAGTCCAGTGCCACAGTAGAGGATTTTCTCATGACCGCTAGAATAAGCTCAGACTAACTGGCCCAAAGTGGGAAAAGGCACTACACTCTTACTTAGTGTATGGACAAGCCTTAAAATGGACAGCAAGAGGGGCAAGCAGAAAGGGAAGGACCTGATGGACAACTGGGTTTGCTGCACTCAGCTATAGCGTAATCCTTGAATCCTTCTAGGACACGAACTTACTGTATGCTGACCTGCAGCAACAAATACAAACACATAGAGGGGCTTCCTAAACTTTAAGAGGAAAATATGACAACATGAGAAGAAGAGTACAGAGAGAAGGAAAAGAGAGAGAGAAAGACAAAGGACAACATGACACTGCTTAATTATGACTGGCTCTATGGGGCTTATATTTATAAGTATTTGAGGGATACAACAGAACAGGAAAATCATTTATGCTTAATATCACACACTATCCTTTTACACAGCACATACTTCATTAGGTACCTCAGCCAGATGCAGTAGCTCGCTACTGAGCTGTGCAGCTCCTGCTTCAGGGCTGGCCTGGGAACTGCCAGCCCAGAGCAAAGCCGGACTCTGCTCGGGTCCGTCTGCAACTGCTTACTTAGATGCACCCTCCTGCTAACAGCCCAAGGCCAAGAGAAAGGTGAGGAAATTCATAAAAATGTAACACACTGAAGCGCTTTGCTGAACCTTGCCTTGAAATGCTATAGGGGTTTTCTGTGCTTTGTCTTCTATAGACAAAGCCCATCTCCTCGACAGAAGGTGGCATCTGCCTGGAATGAGAGAACTGCATCCAAACAGGTGCCAGCCCTGTCTTCACAATTTTGATCTTTTCAGCCATTCTGACTTCCTGAAATCACTGCATCCATCATGGGAGACTTACTATCTACCTTTCTCAAGGGAAGTCCTCCCTCCTCTGCACTGGGTAGACACAACCTAACCCAAAGGGTTGGTGCCCACTTACCCCACTGTTCTTAGGGCGATGGCAAGGAGTTGAAAGGAGAAGTGAGGAAAAACCTCAGTGTTGCAGAAGGAAAATACCCCCATGACTTTTTTTCCCCCAAGACGCAGATGTAAGAAATAACATGCTGGGACTGCCGTGAACAATCTAGGGTGACTTACACTGAGGGCAAGTGCTGTTTCTTGCTCTCTCCTTGTCCCTCTACTTACAGACCTTCATCTGACAGCTAAAATGTTTCCCTTTGCTCAGACTAGTAAAAATCAGGTAAGAACTGTCAGCATTTGTATTTATATTCCATCATATTGCTTCTCTTTATTATTCAAAATACCAAGGTAGATTGGACTAACGACAAAAAACTTCTTTTCACTCAGTGACTTCTCATCCCACCTCTCACCCTGAGCGCAAGACAAAATCAGGCACAACCAGCCGCCAGGGCTGGCGCAAGCTCGCAGCCCCAGCACTGCATCACCTGGCATCGTGCCGACAGGCTCCTCCTAGCTAGCAAATCCAGCACCAGCAGTCCTGCTCAATGCCCCCTCACACCAAATGCCGGGGGATTTGTACAAGTAGCTCTCAGGTACATGCAAGAAAGGCTAAACCCAAGCAAATGCAATCTACCCATGTTTTTCTGTGCACAATATATCATTTACCTGCTTCTTACAGGTTCTCAAGAGCTAGCAACTGCAGCTTGCTCCTTCTTAAAGGGTCTAAAGATCTTTAGGCATGAGCTTCAATACTTAAAAGTAACAGGGAGAAAAAGCTTATACATTCATTCCTATATTGTATTAATTTTTACCATTGTTAGGTTTTGGAATGAAAAAAGATAGTAAATGGTAAACTCCATGGTAAATACTAGCTCCTACAAATAACACCAAAGCAAGAAGGGATCCAGCTTTGTCTTTTGCTGACCTTTGCCATTCCTGGGTTTCATGATAATTTACAGAAATTGATTTTGTGATTAGGTTTTAAAATAACAGCATCATTTAATAAATCCAGCTGGGTGATTACTCAATTATCTTACAGTGATGATTATTTAACTCAATATTTAGAGCTTAGGAGACTGGATAAGTCTAAGACAATTTGCCCAATTTGTATTTTACAAAGGTTTACAGCCTCTAGAATTAAACAGTTTAGGAAGATGACTTTTTGAGGCCATTTTTAAATACTGCTTCCTGGAGCACACAGTGTCATCCACCTACCTCGGCTGAGCTTCAGCACATTGACAGACAGCAGGAGAGAAGCGTACCAGAAGAAGAATTTTTAACTCAGGATAAATTGCAAGTAAAAATTTACACTCAGTAAGAAAAATTCCTCAAACTGTAATGAAGCAAAAGCATTCCTGTGCTGGTTTTAGCTGGGGTAGAGTTAATTTTCTCCATAGTAGCTGGTGTGGGGCTGTGTTTTGGGTTTGTGAGGAAAACAGCGTTGGTCACTCAGGGATGGTTTAGTCACTGCTGAGCAGCGCTGACACAGAGCCAAGGCCTGTTCTGCTCCTCACCCTACCCCACCAGTGAGTGGGCTGGGGATGCACAAGGAGCTGGGAGGGGACACAGCTGGGACAGCTGACCCCAGTTGACCAAAGGGATATCCCAGACTGTGTGATGTCATGCTCAGCATATTTAACTGGGGGAAGGAGGAGGAAGGGAGGGAGGGATGTTTGCAGTGATGGCGTTTGTCTTCCCAAGTCACTGCTACATGTGATGGAGCCCAGCTCTCCTGGAGATGGCTGCACACCTGCCTGCCTGTGGGAGGTGGGGAACGGATTCCTTATTCTGCTTTGCTTGTGTGCGTGGCTTTTGCTTTATCGGTTAACCTGACTTTATCTCAACACATGAGTTTTCTCACTTTTACTGTTCTGATTCTCTCCCCCCTCCCACTGAGAGCAAGCAGCTATGTGGTGCTTAGTCGCTGGCTGGGTCAAAACCACAACAATCCCATATAATCCAAACTTTTC